ACTCTATGATCTGCTCTCCTTTTGCACTCTCTCACCACTCTCTTCACCTTTCTTTTACTCTCCATATATTCTGCTCTTCTTATGACACTTCTGCTTTGTAAAAACCTCTCATAAGCTAACTTTTTTTCTCTTGTATCACATCCTTTACTTCATCATTCCACCAATCACTCCACTTTCCTCCTGCCCCCACCCTTCTATAACCACAAACTTCTGCCCCACATTCTAATACTGCATTTTTAAAACTATTCCAAGCCTCTTCAACCCCCCCACTACTCATCTTTGCACTAGCCCACCTTTATGCCAATAGTCGCTTATATCTCACCCGAACTTCCTCCTCCATTAGTTTATACACTTTCACCTCCCTCTTACTTGTTGTTGTCACCTTTCGCTTGTCCCATCTACCTCTTACTCTAACTGTAGCTACAACTAAATAGTGATCCGATATATCAGTTGCCTCTCTATAAACATGTACATCCTGGAGCCTACCCATCAACCTTTTATCCACCAATATATAATCTAACAAACTACTTTCATTACGTGCTACATCATTTACCTGGAGTTTACCTGGAGAGAGTTCCGGGGGTCAACGCAACCGCGGCCAGGTCTGTGACCAAGCCTCCTGGTGGATCAGAGCCAGATCAACCAGGCTGTTACTGTTGGCTGCACGCAAACCAACGTACGCGCCACAGCCCGGCTGGTCAGGAACCGACTTTAGGTACTTGTCCAGTGCCAGGTTGAAGACTGCCAGGGGTCTGTTGGTAATCCCCCATATGTATGCTGGGAGGCAGTTGAACAGTCTCGGGCCCATGACACTTATTGCATGGTCTCTTAACGTGCTAGTGACACCCCTGCTTTTCATTGGGGGGATGTTGCATTGTCTGCTAAGTCTTTTGCTTTTGTAGTGAGTGATTTTCGTGTGCAAGTTCGGTACTAGTCCCTCTAGGATTTTCCAGGTGTATATAATCATGTATCTCTCCCGCCTGCGTTCCAGGGAATACAGGTTCAGGAACCTCAAGCGCTCCCAGTAATTGAGGTGTTTTATCTCTGTTATGTGCTCCGTGAAGGTTCTCTGTACATTTTCTAAGTCAGCAATTTCACCTGCCTTGAAAGGTGCTGTTATTGTGCAGCAATATTCCAGCCTAGATAGAACAAGTGACCTGAAGAGTGTCATCATGGGCTTGGCCTCCCTAGTTTTGAAGGTTCTCATTATCCATCCTGTCATTTTTCTAGCAGATGCGATTGATACAATGTTATGGTCCTTGAAGGTGAGATCCTCCGACATGATCACTCCCAGGTCTTTGACGTTGGTGTTTCGCTCTATTTTGTGGCCAGAATTTGTTTTGTACTCTGATGAAGATTTAATTTCCTCGTGTTTACCATATCTGAGTAATTGAAATTTCTCATCGTTAAACTTCATATTGTTTTCTGCAGCCCACTGAAAGATTTGGTTGATGTCCGCCTGGAGCCTTGCAGTGTCTGCAATGGAAGACACTGTCATGCAGATTCGGGTGTCATCTGCAAAGGAAGACACGGTGCTGTGGCTGGCATCCTTGTCTATGTCAGATATGAAGATGACGAACAAGATGGGAGCAAGTACTGTGCCTTGTGGAACAGAGCTTTTCACCGTAGCTGCCTCGGACTTTACTCTGTTGACTACTACTCTCTGTGTTCTGCTAGTGAGGAAATTATAGATCCATCTACCAACTTTTCCCGTTATTCCTTTAGCACGCATTTTGTGCGCTATTACGCCATGGTCACACTTGTCGAAGGCTTTTGCAAAGTCTGTATATATTATATCTGCATTCTTTTTGTCTTCTAGTGCATTTAGGACCTTGTCGTAGTGATCCAATAGTTGAGACAGACAGGAGCGACCTGTTCTAAACCCATGTTGCCCTGGGTTGTGTAACTGATGGGTTTCTAGATGGGTGGTGATCTTGCTTCTTAGGACCCTTTCAAAGATTTTTATGATATGGGATGTTAGTGCTATCGGTCTGTAGTTCTTTGCTGTTGCTTTACTGCCCCCTTTGTGGAGTGTGGCTATGTCTGTTGTTTTTAGTAACTGTGGGACAACCCCCGTGTCCATGCTCCCTCTCCATAGGATGGTAAAAGCTCGTGATAGGGGCTTCTTGCAGTACTTGATGAACACGGAGTTCCATGAGTCTGGCCCTGGGGCAGAGTGCATGGGTGTGTCATTTATCGCCTGTTCGAAGCCATTTGGCATCAGGATAACATCAGATAGGCTTGTGTTAACCAAATTCTGTGGCTCTCTCATAAAAAATTAATTTTGATCTTCGACTCTCAGTCTGGTTAGCGGCTTGCTAAAAACTGAGAGATATTGGGACTTGAGTAGCTCACTCATTTCCTTGCTGTCATCTGTGTAGGACCTATCTTGTTTAAGTAGGGGCGCAATACTGGACGTTGTTCTCAACTTTGATTTGGCATAGGAGAAGAAATACTTTGGGTTTCTTTCGATTTCATTTATGGCTTTTAGTTCTTCCCGCGATTCCTGACTCCTATAAGATTCCTTTAGCTTAAGTTCGATGCTTGCTATTTCTCTGACCAGTGTCTCCCTACGCCTTTCAGATATATTGACCTCTTTTAGCCGCTCTGTTATTCTTTTCCGTCGCCTGTAAAGGGAGCGCCTGTCTCTTTCTATTTTACATCTACTCCTCCTTTTTCTTAGAGGAATAAGCCTTGTGCATACATTGAGTGCCATCGAGTTAATCTGTTCAAGGCATAAGTTGGGGTCTGTGTTGCTTAGTATATCTTCCCAGCTTATATCAGTTAGGATTTGGTTTACTTGGTCCCACTTTATGTTTTTGTTATTGAAGTTGAATTTGGTGAATGCTCCCTCGTGACTAATCTCATTATGTCGGTCTGGGGCTCCGCGCATACATGTCTGAACCTCAATTATGTTGTGATCTGAGTATATTGTTTTTGATATGGTGACATTTCTTATCAGATCATCATTGTTAGTGAAGATGAGGTGTAGTGTATTCTCCAGTCTAGTAGGCTCTATTATTTGCTGGTTTAAATTGAATTTTGTGCAGAGATTTAAAAGCTCGTGTGAGTGTGAGTTTTCATTAGAGCTGCCTCCTGGTGTTATTACTGCAACAATATTATTTGCTATATTCATCCGTTTTAGGTGCCTTAAGTTGAAATCCCCCAGGAGCAAGATGTTGGGTGCAGGAGCTGGCAGATTTTCCAGACAGTGGTCAATTTTTAACAGCTGTTCCTGGAATTGCTGGGATGTTACATCCGGAGGCTTGTAGACTACCACAATGACTAGGTTTTGGTTCTCGATCTTTACTGCTAAAACTTCCACTACATCATTTGAGGCATTCAGCAGTTCTGTGCAAACAAGTGACTCTGCAATGTACCTTGTATATATTATATACTTATTACCAAATCTCTTTCTACACATAGCTCAATTAAAGGCTCCCCATTTACATTTACCCCTGGCACCCCAAATTTACCTACTACTCGCTCCCTAACATTTTTACCCATTTTAGCATTGAAATCCCCAACCACAAGTGCAGTACTCTCACACTTGGTTCAAAACTCCCCACGCATTCACTCAACATTTCCCAAAATCTCTCTCCTCATCTACACCTCTCTCTTTTCCAGGTGCATATACACTTGCTATAACCCACTTTTCACATCCAACCTTTAGTTTACTCCACATAATCCTTGAATTAATACATTTATAGTCCCTCTTTTCCTGCCATAGCTTATCCTTCAATATTATTGCTACCTATTGCACCTAAAGTCAGTTCCTGATCAGCCGGGCTGTGGCTCGTAAGTTGGTTTGCGTGCAGCCAGCAGCAACAGCCTGGTTGATCAGGGGCTGATCCACCAGGAGGCCTGGTCACAGACCGGGCCGCGGGGGCGTTGACCCCCGAAACTCTCTCCAGGTAAACTCCAGGTAAACTCCTTCTTTAACTCTAACTTTATTTGAAACCCCTGACCTAATCCCATTTATTCCTCTCCACTGAAACTCTCCCACCTCCTTCAGCTTTGTTTCACTTAAAGCCAGGACATCCAGCTTCTTCTCATTCATAACATCCACAATCATCTCTTTCTTATCATTTGCACAACATCCATGCACATTCAGACTTCCCACTTTGACAATTTTCTTCTTCTTATTCTTTTTAGTAATCTTTACAGGAAAAGGGGTTACTAGCCCATTGTTCCCGGCATTTTAGTTGACTTTTACAACACGCATGGCTTACGGAGGAAAGATTCTTATTCCACTTCCCCATGGATATAAAAGGAAAAGTAATAAGACCAAGAACTATTAAGAGAAAATCAAAGAAAACTCAGATGAGTGTGTATAAATAAACGTGTACATGTATGTGTAGTGTGACCTAAGTGTAAGTAGAAGTAGCAAGACATACCTGTAATCTTGCATATTTATGAGACAGACAAAAGACACCAGCATATTACTGGTAATTTTATCAATGTTTATTTTGAGGAGGATGGAAGATGTGCGTGTGAGTGGAAGAGGCGGGGAGGATAGGAGGGGAGGGAGATGGTGAGTATCTGTATTTATATTTTAAGACTCAAATTCAAATTCAGATTTTTATTTCTTTTTATGCTGTACAAAGCTAATGTAGTTTACATGTAATAAAACATTGTTAGGACCAAAAGAAAGCCACTAGTATGCAAATGAATTTCAGACAAAATTTTTTAATTGTATTGTGATAGAAAACTAGGGAAACTTCACATGATTGCCCATTGTAACGAAACCCTTCATAACAACCCACAAACTTCACATGATTGCCCAATGTAACAAAACCCTTCATAACAACCCACAAACTGGGTTAACTGTGAATGTTTCCTCACTGATATTATGACTTTTATTCTTCTTGATGAAGCCACATCTACTTTGAGTCTAGCACTGTACAATATTTAGATCATGAATGAAATTTTGACTTGTAAAAATATTGACAAGGATAAATAGGATATTGTAGTGTATTTATGTGAAACTTTTTTCACAGGTACATGAGTTGGGTTGTCCAGAAAGCAGCAGAAGAGCAAAGAGTGGCAGCAAAAGTAGTTTCCATGATGATCACTTTGAAAATGATGGTCATCATCATTACTTTGGGTATTCATCAGCTACTATTGGTGCTATGGCATTTATGTTAATATTCACATCATCAATGTTGTTAGCTGTTGCATATTTTCACCGGCAAAAGATTAAGGAGCTAGTCATTCCTTACTGGGATTTTGCTACCAGAAAGATTGGATATGCTGGCATTTCTAATGATGAAACTCCACAGGAAGTAAGTGTTTAATATGACTTAATCACAAGAATTTTCTTTCAATTTATGCAGGTAATTAGAAGTCATATGGTGTGTTTAACCATTTGTGTTCAGTGTATTAATTGGAATTCAAATCAGTGGTCTTGAATTACCAGCCTGTCTTCTTAGCCCACTGCACCACAGAGAGGTAATAATGTTTTCATCAACCTTATGGTGAAATGTTGATTCCAGACCATGGGTTTTAATGCTGATCACTTTATTGAGTTTTTACATTTGTTCATTAAGATTTAGCAGAAACTTTGTGTTCTTAGCTTTACTAAGATTGTGTTGATCACCTATCTAAATTTAACAGTTGGAGAAAGGGTGTTTATAGTAAATCATATTCTTTGATGGTGGCAAATTTCCAAAGAGGAGCATTTTTATGTACCTTATCTTTGATATTATAGAGAAATGATCCAATTTATTAAAATGTTTATGTCATCATATATTTATTCTATGCAAAATTGCAAAAAATAACAGTTCATATATCAAAGCTTTTGAGAGAAGTTGGTGCCTTGTATTCAGTTCAAACCACTGCCACTACTATTACAGTTCTTGAACACAAAGTTCAGTCAGTATTTATATTATTTAACTCACCATAAGCATACATAAGGGGGATTACCAATAGATCCCTGGCTATCTTCAAGAGGGAGCTGGACAGGCACCTAAAGTCAGTACCTGACTTTCCGGGCTGTGCCTCATATGTTGGATTGTGTGCAGCAAGCAGTAACAGCCTGGTTAATCAGGCCCTGATTCACTGAGAGGGCTGGTCATGGACCGGGCTGCAGGGGTGTCGACCCACGGAACACATTCCGGGTACAGAAGTGTCAGAAGCAGGGGTTAGGGTGTCACAGTAATGGTGGTACTATATTTTCATGGTTCTAACATTTTAATAATGACACTATGTAATTTAACAGTGCTTTACATAATATTGTAGGTGATAGTGATGACTGAGTTATGTATGTGTGAAACAGTTATATTTGTGTTATTGAATGACTTTACTAGAGCAATACTGCAAAGCACAAATTTGCACTTTTCTAGAGTTTTAGACATGAAAATTAGGTATGCTTAATTTTGGTTAGTTTGAGGGTTTTTTTTGATATTGGGAAAAAAATTGTGTGAGTTGTGAGACAAACATTTATTTGTGAGCCTAGATGTTGGACACTTAACTGCTTACCTAACTTATTATAGATCAAACAGTGTAATGACTGTACAATAGTTGCTGTGCATGATGGAGCTATTTACAGTTTGTTCTCTTTTTATTTCATTTAATAGTCCATTATTAATTAACTGCATTTTATAGAGTTTCTCTCTTTTATCAACGAATAGTTAAACAGAGGGGAAAATAAGATAGAATTTTTATTAATTTTGTTATGGTAGTTAGTGGGATTTATAGTTCAGTTTATATTGTATATACTGTGATATGGTAGAGAAATTTCTTTCTTTCATAACTAATTTATGCTCAGTACTGTAATGAAAATTTAAATTCTTTGTTAAAACTCGGTCTTTTTTTGTTCTTATTTAGAAAATTTTATTGTTTAAAATATTCCCTTGCTTGGAAAAGTAGAATTGGAGAGACTTTTATAATTTTGGAATATTTGCTGTTATTTATCAAAAAATTATATTTTCATACAATATTCTCCATATAAAATTATGGGAAACATTTTTTGAAAAACTAAATTATTATAGATTTTTGCAATTAAAATTAAGAATTTTCATAGAAATTGGGATGTATGTTTCACAGTTTTGGGGATCATTCATAAGTAAAAAATTTATTTTCCATGTTTGGGAGGATTCCATATATGGGTACTGTACTGTATTCTGAATGTGAGAACAATTACCATGGGGCATTTTTGACATTTACAAAACCATACTTAACCCTTAAACTGTCCAAACGTAGATCTACGTTCACTCGCGTGGCGCTCCAAATATTTTGAAAACTAAAAAAAATTTTTTTTCTTTTAAAATAAAGAGCACATTTTTCTACATGTTATAGGATTAAAAAAAAAATTTAGGGTCAGTACTTACCAAGATATAAGACCGTGAAGTTGGCTCTGGATTCTCACCTGTCGGCAACATTGACTCCTACTTACAGAAATATTGCCGATATACCTTTTTTTTTTCGTTTTTATTTTAATTTATATATTTTTATGCTCTGATAATTACAATTCATAATAGTTCTTGTAATTTCATAACCAGTCTTTGTTCTGACACTAATATTAGGTACTGAAATAGTGCTTAAATAGTCACAATCACAGTGACAGGTGAATATTTACACCTGCCTGGGTTATTTACTATTGTCTAGAAATATATACAAAGTATTTATAGGTCCCGGCAATGTTTTAGATACTCGGGCATATACCTTGAAGCATGTTGCTATGAAAGGCATCCCTATACTGTTGACAGCTCAGTGACATTTGATAAATGCTCTCTGCTCCAGCTAACCCTCGCTGTATTTGTTATCACTGTTACACACAAACATGTCTTGTCTCTGTCTATTTATCTGTCTGTCTATCTGTCTATCTATCTGTCTGTCTATCTGTTTGTCTGTCTGCCTGTCTATCTATCTGTATCTGTCTCTCTGCCTGCCTGTCTATCTGTCTCTGCTTATCTGTCTTTCTGTCTGCCTGGAGTATATGTATATCACACTCCTTGAAGAATTGTGTTATGACATCTCTTATCAGCTTGGTGACATTTGATAAATGGGTGCTCAGGGGAACCCTGGCTTTATTTGTTTTCACTGATACACACAAACATGTTTCTGTTTATCTGTCTGTCTCTCTGTCTATCTGTCTATCTGTCTGTTTACCCTTGCCTGGAATTTTTGGAATATCCTAGGTAATTTACACTATGTATAATAACTGTACTTATGTGTACATGTGAGACAGAGATATAGATAGACAGATATATAGATAGACAGAGATATAGATAGACAGAGATATATACAGATAGATATATAGACAGATAGAGATATAGACAGAGAGACAGCCAGAGACAGCCAAAGCAAGCCAGCCGGCCAACCTGCCGAATACGTAAGAACATAAAAAAAAAAGAACACTGCAGCAGGCCTACTGGCTCATGCAAGGCAGGTACATGTCACCCTTTCCCCCTGGCTTAGACCAATGACCCACCTAGTCAGGTTACATCTACTGAAGTAAGGAGCATGACATTAGACCTAGTAGCACAAGCTAGTCAGGTCCAACTCACACCCACCCACATTCACTCATGTATTTATCTAACCTATTTTTACTTTCTTCTTAAAATAGGAGTGTTAATGTGACATGGCATCAGTGAATCCCTGGTGTTTCCCATGCTATATGCTCTAGCTGGCGCTCAATTGAACTGGTGCTCCCACAAGGTACTAAGTGCCCCCAGATTTTTTTAATAGTACGCACACTGAGTGCACAGACCCATTCTTTCATGTCTAGGTGACTTGAGCCTATTGTGCCAAATTTGAAGGAATGAAAAATAAAACGTTGATCTACATTTGGAGCGCTACGCGTGCAAATGTAGATCTACGTTTGGACAGTTTAACCCTTTGAGGGTTTTCGTCGTACTAGTACGTCTTATGCGTAGGGGTTTTTGACGTACTAGTACTCATAAATTCTAGCGACCTCAAATCTAGTGGGAGAAAGCTGGTAGGCCTTCATATGAAAGAATGGGTCTATGTGGTCAGTGTGCACAGTCTAAAAAAAATCCTGCAGCACACGGTGCATAATGAGAAAAAAAAAACTTTTTCCATTTTTTTTTAATAAATCAGTGACTTTGCAGTGTATTTTCGTATAGTATTTATTGTTGTATTCTAGTTTTCTTGGTCTCATTTTATAGAATGGAAGACATATTACTGAAATTGAGATGATTTTGACTGGTTTTACAATGAAAGGTGCCTTGAAATTGAGCTCAAAGTAGCAGAAATGTTCGATTTTTACCAAACTTCAAAAGTAAACAAATCGTGCCAAGCGTGCAATACACGTCAACTGGTGAGTCTAATATTCTTTCACAAGTGCACCAATAATATTTATACCATTTTTTACACTAATGCAGTAGTCTGCATAACAGTAAATCTTATATTTTTTGTGAGAATAAAAATTCAAAGTGGAAAGCAAAAGAATATAAGAGGGGCCTTGAGACGTGACTAATGACTAGAGGAAATGTCATTTTAGTGCCAGGAATGTCTTTCTTGTTTATTCTGGACCCTATTCCGAAATTGGCATCTTTTGAAATTTGTGTGAAATTGGCAAAATTGCTAAATTCTGACCACTGTACTGGATAGTTGAATTTATAAATGGGTGGTTTCTTGCACCCATTCGATAGAAAAAATGGAGTTCTAGCGAAATATTCATGTTTTTTGTCGACTAGTACAGTGAAATTGGCCGAAAATGGGGCTCAAAGTGGGCAAAATCGCCGATCCGTAAACATCGCCGAGACCGCTAACTTTGCGAGAGCATAATTCCGTAAGTTTTCTATCAAATTTCAAACTTTTGGTGTCGTTATGATCGGGAAAAGATTCTCTATCTTTTCATAAGAGAAAATAATTTTTTTTTTTTTTTAAATTTGGCCGACCCTGAGAACGAGTTTCGGAGAGGGCCTGTCGACCCTCAAAGGGTTAAGGGTTAAAAAAAAAAATCGATAGGATACATGCTTATGGTTGTGTTTCATAGTTTTAAAGTATAATTAAACTAAGTACATTTATATTTTTCACCAAACCTTACAACGGAGCTTGTACGGTATGTGGATACTGGTGAAGTATTTTTGATCTGAGAAATTGGATTATTATTATTATAATCATAAACAATCACCCTGCTTCAGTGGGAAATGGCCGACGTGTTTAAAAAAAAAAAAAAAAAAAGCACTGATCCCATAAGGGTCATCTGAGAAAGTGGAGGTTACCTCACCTTCCTCGGGACAACCCTGATTGTTTTCCATTCTGCAGGTGCTGTATGACCCCTTTGGTTTTAGCGATTTCCAGTGAAAATACGTAATAGTAACAATAATACAGTACTATACTACTACTAATAATAACAATAATGAAATATATTTTTTGTATAGCAAATTATAGTACTGTGCTTCTTGACACTTATTTGTTTTAAAATATAATACAGTGTATATTACATTTATTGTAATTTACACAGCACTGTATGTTCACTCTTCCAATATTTGTTTTATGAACAATTATAAAATTTCCACCTTGCCTACAACTAAAGTTTCACTTATATGAAGAGGAATTTTGTGAGGGTATAGGTGTGCTAACTAATTATACTTTGTTATAGTACTAATGGTAATTTTTTTTGTAAAAAAATTAAATGTGAAAAATACTAATCTTATTTTTTGAGTATCACCACTTAGATTTGTGGAGATTTTGAATTGTCTCCTACATTGGCCTGTAACTGAGGAGCAAAAAAATACAGAGTTTTACTATTTTCCCTGAATCTTTAATTCTGGAATTATCATAATAATACTTGAATCTTTAATTCTGGAATTATCATAATAATACCTGAATCTTTAATTCTGGAATTATCGTAATAATACCTGAATCTTTAATTCTGGAATTATCATAATAATGCCTGAATCTTTGATTCTGGAATTATAATAATAGTCTAAATTTACCAGTCATGCTATAAATGAAAATGTATGTCTGGCTGGAAATAAAAAGATAGTGGAGGTGGCCTTTTAAAGGAAATGCCTTGATGCTGGTGAAGAATTCTTGATCTGGTTGCTAGAATTAGGCTTTCACTTCATTGTGCATCAGTCTGTTCTACTAACTTGCAACTTTGGGTATTGCATTATATTAACTTTAGACAGGTTTTATAGACAGAAAATCCCTATAAAACCAATATTCAGACTTCACTGTCACTGTTGCATTTTTTTTTTAAGAACTGGAGTTATATTAAAAAAAAACTGAAAGCATTAGTCTAGTAGCCTAGTTTAGTAGCTTTATTATGCATCTATATACTCATCTTGTGAGTGGTAGTCAAATATTATAAAGGCATATAATGGGCCTATGGACTGGGCTTCAAAGGTAACTAGCCTTGATTGAGAGGTAACTAGCCTTGAATGGGAAGTAACTAACCTTAGCTATCAAAGTTTTGATAGCTAAGTAATTTACAGTGATAGTGAACTATTCACAAATTAATGATCTGGTAACAATTGTAATGAGTTGTTTATACAGACATGAATTAAATTACTGTAACTTATATGGAGTTATGAGTTATTTATAATACCCATCATTTTAGTAAGGTTTGCATGAATATAGACAAGCTTAAGTAATAATACTTTATTTGCAGTAGGCAAAGTCAGTATTTTATCAGAATGTCTTGTAATATGCCACTGTGGATAAAATGCTTTGACATTTCTTAAACATATGCTTAAGAGAATGGGTTGTATGCATGTGGACCTCAGTTATGAGATCTCTATTTCCTTAGGCTGCATTCATTTGTATAAAGGTTATTGATCTGGTTAGCATCAGTTTGGAGCATATGAGCCTTATCATAAGGATCAGTGAGATCAATGCCATCTTGCAGGGCCACAATGGTCTCCAAGACTCCCCACTGTATGGAGAAGGAATACTTGCCATAGTGCATTATGCTGTAGTACTGGTAATCTTCGCCAACGTAGCGGGAGTATGTATCAATGTCGAAGGCATACGTGTATGCTGCATAATTATTCACATCAGTAACGTTTTGTAAAAATTAATAATACAGTGGTAATAAATTGATAATTAATGTTATACAGTACTGACACATTGATGGATTAGACACTTGTGCAAAACTTGGATATCTATTATGATCAGTGGCGGCTCGTCAAAAAATAGAATGGGGGGACTGTGTGACTGAAAGCCTCATAGAACAGCATAATAAATGGTGTGTGCTGCATTGAATGCAGCTCCTCGCTGCCAGATGTAACGCCAGTAATACCTATACTATCATACCGCATCAGACTTCAATTTTTAATAATTTTTTATCTCGTTTCAGCAAAAAGATAAAAAATTTACTTATAAATTCATTGAAAACAATATACAACAGATTTTTCCTGTAATGTATTTGTCATTTGCAAATTATTTTAGCATAAAGTTGATGAAATCATACTTCTGGCAGAGAGCATCTGGGGAAGACTGCAGCTCTGCAGCTCCTATGGACAAGCCACCACTGATTATGATGATGTTTTGCCAACCAGTTGCTTTTTCACTTCAATACAGAGCTTATTAAATGGAGATGCTTTCAGGACTGAGGGACTGATTACCTACCTCATCTACTGTCTCCATTTAATAAGCTTGTTTGAATTGAAATATCCACTGGTTGGGAAAAAATCTTCAAAATAAAGATACCCAAGTGTTGCACATATGTCTAATTCATCAATACATGACAAATAAAAATCATAGTACCATGGACAAAACAATTAACAACTAAACCATAAATTGGAGGTGAAAGTGGACAATGTTTTGATCTGTCCTGTACTGATAATAGTCCAGCCCAGACTAACACAGGAGGGCCCTGTTCAACCAGCTCTTAAGTTTTGTGACCCCAAATGATCAGCAAAACTCACCAGCAGGTGGAAGGAGCCATTTTTTCATTATCGAATGCATCTAAATGCCTAATAATGTGTTTACATTATCATAAGTTAAGTGCTCAATACAACTTGGCATAAAAAATGATAGAGTAAAATAAATACACTGTACATACAATACTTACCTTAAAATGTGGTTCTGGTCATCCTTCCCTTATGCAGCTGTTGTATGAAAATGGTGATAATGGCAGAAATGTGACAGTGGTTCAGTTAAAAGCCAACGAAAACATGGAACACTAAAAAGAAGGAGCTGTTTACATGGGGCCCTCCTGTATTTCATCTGGTTTTATTTCTATTTTGTGGATTGTAAATTTATATTTCAGTATTCATAGCTGAAGATGAGCCTTTTGTTTTAAAACCTGGTAGAGCAAATAGAAATAGTTACCCAAATTCTTAGATAGCTTAGGTAAGTTTTTGCTGTTCTTGTATAATATTACATACATAAATTTTAGTAAAGGTTTGTTGCCAGTTACTTTTGGTACTCTAAGGTGTGTGGTATGAGCTTTGGGCAGATGCACGCTGCTGAGGCCAGAAGTCAGTTCTGGCCTTACACTACCAAAAATGTTCACAAATTTAGTTACAGTTTGTGTATTACCTAGGGGTATAGGTGAATCTCAATACGATCCTATAATTTTATGGCAATATAATATTATGGGGAATCAAATTCAAAATGGGAATTGACACAGTTACTTTTTGCTGATGATACTGTGCTTATGGGAGATTCTAAAGAAAAATTGCAAAGGTTAGTGGATGAGTTTGGGAATGTGTGTAAAGGTAGAAAGTTGAAAGTGAACATAGAAAAGAGTAAGGTGATGAGGGTGTCAAATGATTTAGATAAAGAAAAATTGGATATCAAATTGGGGAGGAGGAGTATGGAAGAAGTGAATGTTTTCAGATACTTGGGAGTTGACGTGTCGGCGGATGGATTTATGAAGGATGAGGTTAATCATAGAATTGATGAGGGAAAAAAGGTGAGTGGTGCGTTGAGGTATATGTGGAGTCAAAAAACGTTATCTATGGAGGCAAAGAAGGGAATGTATGAAAGTATAGTAGTACCAACACTCTTATATGGGTGTGAAGCTTGGGTGGTAAATGCAGCAGCGAGGAGACGGTTGGAGGCAGTGGAGATGTCCTGTTTAAGGGCAATGTGTGGTGTAAATATTATGCAGAAAATTCGGAGTGTGGAAATTAGGAGAAGGTGTGGAGTTAATAAAAGTATTAGTCAGAGGGCAGAAGAGGGGTTGTTGAGGTGGTTTGGTCATTTAGAGAGAATGGATCAAAGTAGAATGACATGGAAAGCATATAAATCTATAGGGGAAGGGAGGAGGGGTAGGGGTCGTCCTCGAAAGGGTTGGAGAGAGGGGGTAAAGGAGGTTTTGTGGGTAAGGGGCTTGGACTTCCAGCAAGCGTGCGTGAGCGTGTTAGATAGGAGTGAATGGAGACGAATGGTACTTGGGACCTGACGATCTGTTGGAGTGTGAGCAGGGTAATATTTAGTGAAGGGATTCAGGGAAACCGGTTATTTTCATATAGTCGGACTTGAGTCCTGGAAATGGGAAGTACAATGCCTGCACTTTAAAGGAGTGGTTTGGGATATTGGCAGTTTGGAGGGATATGTTGTGTATCTTTATACGTATATGCTTCTAAACTGTTGTATTCTGAGCACCTCTGCAAAAGCAGTGATAATGTGTGAGTGTGGTGAAAGTGTTGAATGATGATGAAAGTATTTTCTTTTTGGGGATTTTCTTTCTTTTTTGGGTCACCCTGCCTCGGTGGGAGACGGCCGACTTGTTGAAAAAAAAAAAAAAAAAAAAAAAAAAAAAATATTTCACTTATATTCATGTACAGTGTTATCCTCAATAGGTAAAATACTTACAAGGCTCGACATTTTCATAATTGATGTGGACGTAAGAGTCACGGTCCATACGAGTGTGCTCATGGTAGAAGCCGATTGAATGCATCAACTCATGGATAATAGTACCATGGTAAATGCAACCACTGCTTTGCAGGGACACTTGCTGCATTCCACCCAAACGACCGACATATGACCAACATCTGTTAGAAAGTTAAAGTATATGTTTTTTGAAATCTCACCGGAGCTATATTTTATGAAATATTAAAATCTGATTGCCTCCTGTTCTCCAGGAACTGCCTGGCCCTTCAAGGGTTTAACACTGCCTCATGAATATATAATAATAACAATAATAATAATGCCTCCCAGCATACATAAGGTGTATTACCAATAGATCCCTGGCTGTCTTCAAGAAGACACTGAATAGGTATCTAAAGTCAGTACCTGACCAGCTGGGCTGTGGGTTGTACATCAGTTTGCATGCAGCCAGCAGTAACAGCCTGGTTGATTAGGTTCTGATCCACTGTGAGGCCTGGTCACAGACTAGGCTGTGGGGGCATTGACCCCCAAAACCTTATCCAGGTATACTCCAGGTAATAATAATAATCAAATTGATGAAAAATGTATATGCCAGTTAAAAGTCTGACTGCTCACCCTGAGCCACTGGTGAAAATTTCAATATAGTCGGCTTCGGTGGTTCTGGGCAAAAAACGGATGCAAGTCATCTCTTCAAGTTCTTGCATCCCACTAATGATTGCTGCTTGCTCTTCATTGGCTGAGGATTAAGAAATTGGTGATGCAATGTTGTCTGGTCACAGACCGGGCCGCGGGGGCATTGACCCCCGGAACTCTCTCCAGGTAAACTCCAGGTAATACCTTATTGACAACATTGATTGTTGACAAAATTTTGCCAGATAAAAGTGCTAAAAGGTTAGCCTGCATAAAACAATGAGAAAATTTATATTTACATTGAAATGCTGATACTATTCAAGATTATGTCTTTTTAGATAAGTTTATTTCTAGAATTATAGCATATGGACAGATATCTAAGTATTGAAGGGAAGCATTTTCTACCTGATGATACTTACTAACATCATCTGCCAGGGTGTATGGGATGACACCACCTGGCCAAAGATATTCATCTCCTAGGATGGCTGAGCCTACCCTCTGAATAAGTAGAAGTGCAATGATTACTATTTACAATTACTGTACTGTATAATGAAAAGTTGTATTTTATGTAGTGTAGAAACATGTTGCTAGAAATTACTTAAGATAGACAAAAATAATATCAGTGGAATGATGTATAACTCAAAGTATAATCTCAAGAGTGTGGGGTACCCCTGGCTGGTGTGTTTCATGACGCTTGATGTCTCCTTCCAGCATGCCAGGGTTGAAGTAGAGTGCCCGAGCAGCCTCGGGTATAATGGGCGATGCTGCCGCCACTCCCAATACTGCTAGAAATATTGCCCACAGCCTGCAATAATATTGTCTTCATTAAATCAAAACTGGAAAGTTTCTCACAGTCTGTAACACCATCACGCATACTCAAAATACATATTAAGACCACTACTATTAGTACTACTACTACCATTACTACTACTATTACTGCTACTATTACTACTAATGTTACTACTACTATTACTACTACTGTTACCACTACTGTTACTACTACTGCTACTGTTACTACTACTGCTACTGTTACTACTACTGCTACTGTTACTACTACTGCTACTGTTACTACTACTGCTACTGTTACTACTACTGCTACTGTTACTACTACTGCTACTGTTACTACTACTGCTACTACTACTGCTACTGTTGCTACTACTGTTACTACTACTGCTACTGTTACTACTATTGCTACTGTTACTACTACTGCTACTGTTACTACTACTGCTACTGTTACTACTACTACTACTACTACTACTACTACTACTTACTACTACTACTACTACTACTACTACTACTACTACTACTACTATTACTACTATTACTACAACTACTACTATTACTACTACTACTACTACTACTACTACTACTACTACTACTACTACTACTACTACTACTAGTACTACTACTACTAGAAACAACTAAGAACAGTGTATCATCCACTTACATGATGAAGGACTCCAGAGTGAGCTGAGGATGTAACCCACACTATATATATACACAAATGATATCACAAATTCCCACATGGAACCCTCCCCCACATATCCACATATATAACCCTTTACACCTGTTTCTACATTGTAGGTTCTCAGGGTGAACCTTGAACCACTCTAGGCTAATAAGAATTTCATTATTCCCAATGCACTTTTAATTACGAAATTGATCTTATTACATGTATTTTTTAGTTCAAATCAAATCAAATCAAATTTTATTTCTTTGCAAATAGTACATTCAGATTATGTATTAACAATAATGAGTTGCAGTGCAAAGAGAGCCTCTAACATGCCTAGGCATTATGGGCAGACTTACTGACTACTTATTACTAAAGAAATTTATCATAGTTTAAGTTGTACAATAGTTCTATTAATTATAAATAATGGATTGGTCATGATGGAACAGTGTTGTTCCATCATGGCCAATAAGTCCTTTACTGGAGATGCTGTCCTGGGAGACAGTAATGGTGAAGCTGGAGATTTTGTCCAGGTAGTCGGGAATTATACGCAGGAAGGAATACATATAAATGACCTCATAGGGGACAGGAGCCGTAGTAGGGAAACAAGTGTAGTCAAAGATAAGATAAAGCCAATATTGCAAACTAGAAATACCGCAGGAAATAGCAAACAAGAGGACCCCACTAGCAATAGTGAGGATATATTGCCAAAAACAACTGGTGGGAGCTCCATTGTTGGTGCTAGGGAGGATAGGAGTAAGACAGGGAAACATGCACCAACAGGGAATACAGGCACAGAAACCCAAGGCAAACGGAAACCAAGCCTGTGCACATACTATGCACTTGGTATCTGCAGGCATGGGAAATCTGGAAAAACAGATGGGACGTGCAACTATGACCACCCTAGAAAATGCCATGCCCATATGACAACAGGAAAATGCAAACTCCCTTCCTGTAAGCTTTTTCACCCTGAACTGTGTACCTCTTCAGTACAGGAAAGACTGTGCTATAACTTAAATTGCCAGGCATACCATCTAAAGGGGACAAAAAGATACAAAACATCCAGGCCATGGGAAAACCTGGGTAGCCACAGCCACTCAAGAGGGAGAGGTTTTTTAGTGCCAGGAAGGAAAAAAAACTGGCAGGAAATGGCAGAAATCGTACACCAAATCCAGTCATTCCTGGAGTGGAACCACAGTCAATGGCCTCCACTCCAAACCAACAGATACAGATACTAATGCCGGAAAAAAAATCCCCCCCCAGTACCAACAATACCACCAGTCCGATAACATTCTTCTTTGCAAATATACAGGGTCTAAAGCCAGCAACAAACAACAAAATACCTTTCATTCGTGGACTGCTTGCAGAGGCAAAGGCAATGTTCGCGGCTTTCACTGAGACCCACATAAAGGATCACTTGAACAACGAAATATGGATCCCAGGTTACAACCTATACAGATGTGACAGAGTGAACAGGCAAAAGGGGGGGCTTGGCCTGTACATTGCAGAGTCACTTGTTTGCACAGAACTGCTTAATGCCTCAAATGATGTAGTGGAAGTTTTAGCAGTAAAGGTCGAGAACCAAAACCTAGTCATTGTGGTAGTCTACAAGCCTCCGGATGCAACATCCCAGCAATTCCAGGAACAGCTGTTAAAAATTGACCACTGTCTGGAAAATCTTCCAGCTCCTGCACCCAACATCTTGCTCCTGGGGGATTTCAACTTAAGGCACCTAAAATGGAGGAATATAGCAAATAATATTGTTGCAGTAATAACACCAGGAGGCAGCTCTGATGAAAACTCACACTCACACGAGCTTTTAAATCTCTGCACAAAATTCAATTTAAACCAGCAAATAATAGAGCCTACTAGACTGGAGAATACACTAGACCTCATCTTCACTAACAATGATGATCTGATAAGAAATGTCACCATATCAAAAACAATATACTCAGATCACAACATAATTGAGGTTCAGACATGTATGCGTGGAGCCCCAGACCGACATAATGAGACTAGTCACGAGGGAGCATTCACCAAATTCAACTTCAATAACAAAAACATAAAGTGGGACCAAGTAAACCAAGTCCTAACTGATATAAGCTGGGAAGATATACTAAGCAACACAGACCCCAACTTATGCCTAGAACAGATTAACTTGGTGGCACTCGATGTATGCACAAGGCTTATTCCTCTAAGAAAAAGGAGGAGTAGATGTAAAATAGAAAGAGACAGGCGCTCCCTTTACAGGCGATGGAAAAGAATAACAGAACGGCTAAAAGAGGTCAATATATCTGAAATGCGTAGGGAGACACTGGTCAGAGAAATAGCAAGCATCGAACTTAAGCTAAAGGAATCCTTTAGGAGTCAGGAATCGTGGGAAGAACTAAAAGCCATAAATGAAATCGAAAGAAACCCAAAGTATTTCTTCTCCTATGCCAAATCAAAGTCGAGAACAACGTCCAGTATTGGGCCCCTACTTAAACAAGATGGGTTCTACACAGATGACAGCAAGGAAATGAGTGAGCTACTCAAGTCCCAATATGACTCAGTTTTTAGCAAGCCGCTAACCAGACAGAGTCGAAGATCAAAATGAATTTTTTATGAGAGAGCCACAAAATTTGATTAACACAAGCCTATCCGATGTTATCCTGACGCCAAACGACTTCGAACAGGCGATAAATGACATGCCCATGCACTCTCCCCCAGGGCCAGACTCATGGAACTCCGTGTTCATCAAGAACTGCAAGAAGCCCCTATCACGAGCCTTTTCCATCCTATGGAGAGGGAGCATGGACACGGGGGTCGTCCCACAGTTACTAAAAACAACAGACATAGCCCCACTCCACAAAGGGGGCAGTAAAGCAACAGCAAAGAACTACAGACCAATAGCACTAACATCCCATATCATAAAAATCTTTGAAAGGGTCCTAAGAAGCAAGATCACCACCCATCTAGAAACCCATCAGTTACACAACCCAGGGCAACATGGGTTTAGAACAGGTCGCTCCTGTCTGTCTCAACTATTGGATCGCTACGACAAGGTCCTAAATGCACTAGAAGACAAAAAGAATGCAGATGTAATATATACAGACTTTGCAAAAGCCTTCGACAAGTGTGACCATGGCGTAATAGCGCACAAAATGTGTGCTAAAGGAATAACAGGAAAAGTCGGTCGATGGATCTATAATTTCCTCACTAACAGAACACAGAGAGTAGTCGTCAACAGAGTAAAGTCCGAGGCAGCTACGGTGAAAAGCTCTGTTCCACAAGGCACAGTACTTGCTCCCATCTTGTTCCTCATCCTCATATCCGACATAGACAAGGATGTCAGCCACAGCACCGTGTCTTCCTTTGCAGATGACACCCGAATCTGCATGACAGTGTCTTCCATTGCAGACACTGCAAGGCTCCAGGCGGACATCAACCAAATCTTTCAGTGGGCTGCAGAAAACAATATGAAGTTCAACGATGAGAAATTTCAATTACTCAGATATGGTAAACACGAGGAAATTAAATCTTCATCAGAGTACAAAACAAATTCTGGCCACAAAATAGAGCGAAACACCAACGTCAAAGACCTGGGAGTGATCATGTCGGAGGATCTCACCTTCAAGGACCATAACATTGTATCAATCGCATCTGCTAGAAAAATGACAGGATGGATAATGAGAACCTACAAAACTAGGGAGGCCAAGCCCATGATGACACTCTTCAGGTCACTTGTTCTATCTAGGCTGGAATATTGCTGCACACTAACAGCACCTTTCAAGGCAGGTGAAATTGCTGACCTAGAAAATGTACAGAGAACCTTCACGGCGCGCATAACGGAGATAAAACACCTCAATTATTGGGAGCGCTTGAGGTTCCTAAACCTGTATTCCCTGGAATGCAAGAGGGAGAGATACATGATTATATACACCTGGAAAATCGTAGAGGGACTAATGCCGAACTTGCACACGAAAATCACTCACTACGAAAGCAAAAGACTTGGCAGACGATGCATCATCCCCCCAATGAAAAGCAGGGGTGTCACTAGTACGTTAAGAGACCATGCAATAAGTGTCATGGGCCTGAGACTGTTCAACTGCCTCCCAGCATACATAAGGGGGATTACCAACAGACCCCTGGCAGTCTTCAAGCTGGCACTGGACAAGCATCTAAAGTCGGTTCCTGACCAGCCGGGCTGTGGCTCGTACGTTGGTTTGCGTGCAGCCAGCAGCAACAGCCTGGTTGATCAGGCTCTGATCCACCAGGAGGCCTGGCCACAGACCGGGCCGCGGGGGCGTTGACCCCTGGAACTCTCTCCAGGTAAACTCCAGGTAAACTGGGCAGGCCAATAAATTTATTGGCCTCACAGTATGTTTTTTGTGCATGTCATCCTACTCCTACTGTGTTACTGGCTTCCTGTTTTCCAGTTCTGACCAATAAATGACCTTCTACAAGTCTCTCCAGCTAAGTGGCAGTGGTGTCTGCTCACTTCTCGTTGGTTGAGATAAAAATATAAACACTTTGCACTTGGCAACGTTCATACCAGTTTTTCTTCATGCATTACCCTCAAATATTCTCAAATTTCAGCACTCTACAATGTCAGTAAGTACTTCTTTCTATGCCTTGTGCCAAACTGAATGTTTGAGGCATGTTTTGATAAATAACTAATGTCTACATGAGGTATATAATGACTGCGCCATGCAACTGAAAAAACGGCAAGGAAAAAGGCCAACAAATATCACAGCATGCCTGGTAACTTTGAGTTTACCTGGAGAGGGTTTCGAGGGTCAATGCCTCTGTGACTCATTCCAAGACTAGACCTCACGGTGGATCAGGGTCTGATCAACCAGGCTGTTTCTGCTGGACGCACAGAAACTGACATACGAACCACAGCTCGGTTGGTCAGGTACTGATTTTAGGTGCCTGTCCAGGGCCTTCTTTGAAGACAGCCAGGGGTCTATTGGTAATCCCCTGTATGTATGCTGGAAGGCAGTTGAACAGTCTTGGGGCCCTGGACACTTATTGTGTTGTCTCTCAATGTACTCATGGCGCCCTTGCTTTTCATCAGGGGAATGTTACGTTTCCTGCCGAGTCTTTTGCTTTCATAGGGAGTGATTTTCGTGTGCAGGTTTGGTAC